CCATATTTCTTATAAGCACCCCTCAAATACTGGGTGGCCACAATGAAATCTCCCTGGAGCCTTCTCCTGGCTGAACAAGCCCAGCTCTGTCAGCCTTTGCTCTTAGAAGAGGTGCTCCAGCCCTCTGATCATCTTCATGCCCTCCTCTGGACCCGCTCCAACAGCTCCACATCTTTTTTGTGCTGGAGGCCCCTGGATGCAGTACTGCAGGTGGGGCCTCACAGGGCAGAGCTGAGGAGGACAATCCCCTCCCTCTCCCTGCTGCCAGCTCTCTGTTGATGCAGCCCAGAACACAGTTGGCCTTCCAGGCTGTGGGTGCACACTGCTGCCTCATGTCCAGCTTTTTATCCACTGGAACATCCGAGTCCTTTTCTGCAGGACTGCTCTCAGTCCATCTAGTTGTAGAGATAACAGGAAAAAGGCAGCATAGTGGTAGAATAATTTCTTCTTTTTCTCCCACAAGGTGGCACTCCTCTCTGATCCATATGCACAAAATTTTTCCTCTTTTGGACAAAATCAATATTTGGGGTGTATTGCTGGCTTGCTTGGCTCTACGGCTTTTCTGGGTCTTTTTCTTTGTGTTTGAGGTTTAATTTCAAATGATTTGCCTACCCAAACCATTCCTTGTACAAACAGTCAGCTGTTGAAACTGTAGACCAGTCAAGCTTTTCAGAACATTAAAACACAAGTAAAATCTCTGTGTTTAAAGTTATGGGGAGGTGATGTGAAGGAAATGGTATAATACCGGTCAAGTTGGTGATAACCTAGGGGACTTAATTTTGTCTGGTTTCCAGTTCTTAAACACCTAATCTCCTCACAACTACTAATTTCTAGTCACAGCTTCTGCAGCAATTAGAAACAGTCATTTTAGATGCATTTGCTCTTGTGGACTTACAAGACCGGGCTTTTGAAGTCTTCTCTAAGGTGCAGTAAGTGCTCCTTTAGGTGCATTAATGGGTATCTCTTTCCATTCTTTAATAACACCTCCTTTACAGACATAACACTGTTTTTCTAGGGGAAAAAAAAAAGAAGTTGTTTTTGTCTTTGAGACGATCAGAATTTAATTTGAATACCTATTTCCACTAGAAACAGCTGCACATAAATGAGATTTAAATTATTATTCTGGTAAATAAGATCATCTTTTCTTATGCACTGTTGAAGTTTTTGTTGTATAGCAGAAATAACTACCTTAGTTAGTAAGTCAGCTTGTCTGTATGAAATTAATAACAGACTAATTAGAAGACTGTGAAAAACAGTACTGTTGTCATGAGCATCAGTTTCTAGGTCTTGAATTTTTTTTAATTTTTCTGTTTACTGTCTTGAAATCATAATTGAAACCGATACGATTTTAAGTAGGAATTTCTGACTGTATGTTAAAGGTTGGTAGTGTTCTGGATCCACTACTGAGATTGATTTTTAGCAAAGTTCTGATTACTGATGCTTGCATAGATCCCCATAGATCAGGTACAGTGATTGGTTTCTGGAGCTCCAATTTATGTCTGCAGAAAGTACCTCAACAGAACTAAGTTTATCTTTTCCTCAAGGCTGCTGCATGTGCTGTAGACCATCCTGCTTATGTTCAAGCTAAGAGGGGAACTGTATGGTTCTCCTTCCCCTTACCATGACTTGTGCCAACTCTTCCCTCAAGTGGCAGTAGCTGGAATCGAGAGTGGTGGTGCAGCCTGGTGCAGTGAAGGACGTCCTCTGGCTTCTGTGTAAGAATGCTGGAGGAAAAACACTCTGAGTTCACAAGTGTCCCAGCCCTCATTTAAAAAAGCACAACTTGGATTTTTCTGGTTTGGAGCAGTAGATGATTCCTTCATTTACAGTAGATGAAGCAGATAAAGAAAGACATACGTACTTTATTTACCATTAAATCAAAACATTGTGGCTTATATAAGGCCCAGAGTTATTAAAAATCCTTCCAAATGTTCCATCCTGTCCTGAATTAATCTGTTTCTGGGAGCTTTGCTTCTGGGTCACATCTGCAGATAAATCAAGAGAACTGTCCTAAATGTCATTCAGTTTTTATTGCAGCTGCTTTAAAAGAAAAAGACAACACACACAAATTCAAACCCCAACCAAATCAGCAGTAAATCCTGGCTTTATCCTCTTAATTTGCTGAATTAACTCTTAATTCAGCTCAAGAAACGTTAATCATCTATCCTAAAGAATGTTGGACTGCTGGACTTCTCAATTAAAACTTCATAAACTTCTAATGAACTAGTGGAATTATGCATTGACGCTCAATATGTTGGCTTTCCACCTGGTTTTCACTGTTGGGCAATCAGTTTCTTCAGGTTTAGAGAGTTCTGTCCCCAAGGCACCGACATGAAGGTGAAATTGTCTGTGACGACTTGCTGCAGAAAGGGCTCACCTGGGCTTTATAAGGCTCTGATTTATAGGGAGGCAGTCACTGATCACTTCCTTTTCAGTAAAGCATGAGCCTCTTAGGCTCATCCATTCTATGAAGGCAAGGTGGATGTGTGGTTTGTACATGAAGGCTTCTCTGCCCATATTCCCCCTATGCTGTCTCTTCTTCATTCCTTTATCCTTTCCAAAGCAGTTTATCATGTTACTCCATGTTACGTGCACAGATCTTACCTGTGTTTTGTGAGTGATATCTCTCCACTTGAAAGTGCTTCAGCAAACCATATGGCAATTTAAAAACTGCCCCACCTCGGGAATAACTAATGCCTCATCCTTATATGTCAGTATTGCTTCCAGCAATCATAGCACACTGATTAAGGTATTTAGCTGGGTCTGGGGGAGCTGCAGGTCCACATGGTGGCTGTGATGGTACTTTGTGCCATTTGTTTGTTTTATCTTTGCCAAACCATTTGTGGGTGCCCCATGAAGAACAACCTCATTGTGGCTCTCACCTGCAGCATTCAGGCCCTGTAGATCTGGAAGCCTCTGCATTTACTCCCACTTCTTGGGTCTTTTCTTCCATTGCCCTTACATTACAATGCTGCTTGCTTCTTCCTCAGTGACAGAGCTCTGTTTTGGTTTAATGCTGTGCGGAACATTTGGAAAAAAAAAAAAATGGGTTTCATAGTGAAGCACAACTTTTGAGAGGTACCAAAGTCCTGAGTTTTCAGTCACTGCTGTAGAAGAGAACTTGCTTTGGATTTGTTGGTGTATGTGGGGTGTACGACCACTTTATAAATGTAATGCTTTATTACTTATATATCTTTCTGAACCAAGACTTTGCATCCATCTTTTAACTACTTAGTGAAGGACCAGATCACTTTCAGCCTTCCTCCTGAAGATTTATGTGTATCATTTCTTTGTAGAGTTTCTGAGCCTGTCACTGATCCAGGTGATCCATATAAGTATCCAAGCAATTTAAAGGAATTTATGAAGATAAGTTCCTTTAGTGTTCTGCCAATTTCTTCTTTTAGTGCATAATTATCTTCCAAAAGTCCATGGGCCGAGAAGATGAGATTCAGATCCTGCCCTTGCCAAGATACATTGTGAAGTCTTTATGTTCCCAGTGCAGCCTGCAGTACAGGATGGCACTGTTGTACTGAAGGGTCCAGAAATGAGATCATTGAATTTGGTAAAATGGCAGGATGTTGCTGGGGAATGAATAGAGAAACCTCACTCCTATGCTCACTCTGAGGTACACTGACCCCTTTTCACAAAGTTTATTGATGTGGTGATAATTCATGCCACGAGAGATTAAAATGTTACTGCCCGTGAGCTCCCCAGATCTCTCAAGTCCCATTTCAGTGCTTTAGCCAGAGGTCCCTTCCTGCTGCATTTGCTCTTCAGTTAGTACAAGTGATGAACAGTGTTTGCTCTTTCTCTTCTGTGCCTGCATGCTCTGTTTAGTTCTGTTTAGTTCTGTTGGTGTGGAGATCCTTCCCCCTTCCAGAGGTTCTGTACAGGCAGAGCCCAGCCCCTCACGCTTCTCAGGGAAAGAGCACTTTGCTTCTGGCCTCGCTGCTATCAGCTCTGCTGATATGCCCACTGAAGGGTTAGAAACCTTTCACTTGTAGGCACTGAATTCCTTGCGTGTTAGGAACTAAGTGATGACTGGGAGTTACCAAGGCTGAAATACATTTTCCTTCTACTCTGGAAGCAGGGCACTGGGATAGATAGAGCATTTTTTGGCATCGGTGTGAGCAAGAGCAGCTGCTGGCTTCCATCTACCCTCAGTTGCACACTGGAGTGTCTTGGCAGACCTAACTGGAAACTGATCGGGTTTAAAAACAACTCACCAGGATAAACAGTGTGTTTATTTTTAATTTGGATCTGTTCCTCGTCTGATCACTGCTTGGATCCACACTAAGGTTGTGGGATAACCAAAGAGGTGTCTCGGTGCCATAGGTAAAGGACAAGCAGAACCAAGATCCAAATTCATAGATGTTGGAAAGGGTTTAAAAGAGGGGGACAGCTGCCTGGAGTGCTTTAGGAGAACTATTGATTGTGGAGTGGAGCAGGGAGAAGGAAAAATTATGGATTTTTTTTTTCTTTCCAGTGCTTCATGTTATGATGGGACTGTACAGGAAACCTTGATCATTGTGAAAAGAATTTGTACTGGCAGGGCTGCCGTACTGTAGGAACTGGCAAAATGTTCAAACTGGTTTTGTTAGGAACAAGGGGGTAATCAAATCTTTGCTTCTGGTTTCACAGGCAAACTCTGGGGTTCCTCTTGGCCCCTAGCTACTGATTTTGTGTTTCACATCCATTTTAGGTTATTCTGCACCTAATATATTTTTCCACTTGTAATTTTCACCTTGAGACAAATCTCTTCTGTGGTACAAACTCAGCAACCCACCAGTGGCTAGTTATTCTGTTCTCTGGGTCTTCCAGTTGCATTGGCTGGGTTTTGTAGTCTCTTCCAAAATGTAGGTTAGACGAATCCTGCTCCTGCAGAGGCCCTCTCATTTTGCTGTTAGACTTTGTTAGATTTCCAGGCATCCTCTTCCTTCCCATACAGGGCACGTAATGCTGAAGCCATTGCTCACACATTGTGTCCTTTTCATTCATAGGGGACGGTCTTTAGTTTGGAATCTGAAGAGGAGGAGTACCCCAGCCTCATCGCAGAGGACAGTAATGATATCTACATCCTGACCAGTGACAACTCAGGCCAGGTGAGCCCCCCAGAGTCCCCGACGGTGACCACGTCGTGGCAGTCGGAGAGCCTGCCTGTCTCCCTGTCAGCAAGTCAGAGCTGGCACACAGAGAGCCTGCCCGTCTCCCTGGGGCCAGAGTCCTGGCAGCAAGTGGCCATGGATCCTGAAGAAGTCAAGAGCCTGGATAGCAACGGCGGGGCTGAAGAAAGGAGCGAGAACAACTCTTCCAACTCCGACATCGTTCACGTGGAGAAGGAAGAGATACCAGAGGGGATTGAGGAAGCAGTGGTGTCAGCGGTCGCTGCAGAGACCGTGCAGGCAGCGTTTCCAGAAACCCCTGCTTCTTTACAGGAAGTAAAACCTCAAGCTGAAATTGTTGCCGTAGAAAAAGCACATCCCTCTGCACGTCGTACAAAACAGGAGAAGGGAAAAGTGACCGAAGAGCTTGTTGAACCTGAGATCCCCGTGTTAAGTAAACCTGTCCCAAAGTTAACCCCATCGGAAGAAAAGGCTGCACCAGAACCTGAGAAAATACTGCTTCCAGGGGAAAAAAAAGTGGGGAAAGAGGGCCCTTTGGAAGAAATAGAAGAGAAATCCTCCACTGCAGAGGAGAAGCCTATCTTATTGCCAGAAGGGAAATCGATATTGCTGTATGGTGGGGCTGCTGCGGTAGCCATATTGGCTGTGGCAGTCGGAGTAGCGCTGGCGCTTAGGAAAAAGTAACAGAGCTCTCTTGAGGAGGAGGAGGGAGAGAGAGAAGCGAGCGCAATCCAATTGTTGTAGTTGTGTTACCTAAAGGTTGAGCTGCCTGCTGTGTAATTGGACATTTGAGTAATGGTGACGGGGTGAGGTCATTCAATAAGCCTCCAGCTATGGACAATCATGTTTTTAGTAGAATTGGGGCGGGGACTGGTTTTTCCTGATTAAAGTACAGGGGTATTTTTAAAAAAAAACAAAACAACACAAATAATAATAAATTCTGCAAATGTGAGAACTTAAGTGCAGGTGCTGAAGAACGGGGTGCTCGTACTCGAGGAACTGGAACAGAGAATCCCTGGGGAAGGGTAGAGCCAGCTGCTGCCAACCCCTGGAGTTTTTGGCTTCTCCGAGCGACTGCTGCTGCAGCTGTGCTGTCCTGTCACTTCCTGCGCTTCCCAAGCCCTTCCTAGCCCAAGTCCTGCAGCGAGAGGCTGGTCTCCTTCTGGCTCAGCTTCCTCTCAGGTACTGCACTGCTCCTTGTAACCTCGCAGGTTCCTCTTAAACCCCAGCGGGAGAGTGCTTCTTCTTACCTCTTTGCTCCCACCCGTTCTGGCCCTTAACAGTTTCTGAAGCCTCCATACAGATGCTGTGTCTCTGTAGCGGTACTCGCTCTGAGCACCCCGTGTTCTGCAGGGAGAGGTGCACACAGCACCTGCTGCTGTGGGGCAGGGTGGGAGGGCTGCTGCGCTTGGCTGGTCTGGGAATCCATTTGCCGTGTTCCTGCCCACCTCACTGCCACCCTTCAGATAGTGGAGTTGCACAGCTTACGCTGGACACGGTGCCATTTGGTAAGCGCTTGGATACCAGAGTGTATTCAGCAAAGGTGTGGCAAAACTGTGTGCAAGGAAGGCCAATGCCTCCTGTGAGATTCACAGGTTCAACGCTCTTCTGTCCTGTGTCATGCTGCAGTCTGTATTGTCTTTCACAGGTTAAGCACAGGGGTATGTAGTCCTACTGTGGTCTTGGCGACAGAATCCCACGTATATAAAGCAATGGATTCTAGTCACTAAGCAGAACAGCATTAAACACCTTTCCCTATTTGCCCTTTCCCGAGCTGACCCGGAGTGTTGTGCAGTGCAGTTTCTTTTGCGACTCTGAATGTGTAACAGTTAGGTGACATTTGCAGGTTCACAAATGATGAGAATTTAGCTGTGGAAAAAGCAAACCCCTTTTCCTGCAGACACAACACTTCAGGTGTGTGCAAGGAGAAGTCTTTAAGGCGCTGCTGTACCAACAGAGCTGGCCACAAGCATTCCTTTTGGAGTATGTTTGTGTTCCTCCTGCTCTGTTCTGCAGCTCTATGTGTAAGGTCACAGATTGTCCAGGCAGAAGTAGTGATGCATCTCTGAGGGCTGATGCTGGCACCGTGGCTTAGAGCAGGTGGAGATAGGGGAAAGGAGACTTGGGATAATGTAAAAATCAAAATGTGAGCTTACGGTAAGCTTACTCTTCATAAAGCACAAAGACAAGGTACTTTATCTCTAAACAACCTTATCTAGAGTATTTCCTGCAATGAGCCTGTTTCTTAAGTGATCTGATGATCCAGAGATTTTTAGCATGATCTGTTTCAGCTTATTGTTGGTCCCATCCCTATCCCACTCACGCTGGTAGGTCAATAAGAAGCTGGCAGAGTCTGGGGAATTCTTTGTTTAAAGTTTTTTGAGAATGGATTTTGTAGAAAACTTCTCAGGTTTGGATTTGTGTGACTTTGAGTGCTGAAAGGAAGGACTGTTACATGTGTACCTCTGCTGGGAGGGGAGCCCCAGCTCAGGAGCTGTAGATCAGCAGTGTGTGGGTCAGAGATGGCTTTTCTGCGTTTAAGAGGGAGCAAGCTGGCCTTAAAGTTAAATAAAACAAAAAGCAACAACAACAAAACCCAAAACATACTGTGTTGCAAAATGGAATTGACTTTGTATGCTCCTTTTGACATGTAAGAATGTGTACAGTTTTGCTTCATTTCACACCCAGCAGTGCTCATGGATGAATGATGCCATAGGCAAGGGCAGCTGCTTGTTGCCTTGTGGCAGGGGCTGCTCTGTGGTCCCACAGGCTGGGATGGGGTTCCCCTCTACTGCTGCTTTGCTGATGGCTATTGTATCCTTGCTGTTCCCTGTGGGCATGGGACTGCTTTAACCCCAGCTGCATCCTCTCCTTTCTGAAGGCGAGGCATTGACATTGGGGAAGATGTCCCATCTGCAGCCACTCAGTGGGTTGTGTCCCTGGATCTGCTCTGAAGCACAGATGGATGTTTTGGACATGCTGGATAACTTGTGTGCACGTGAGGGGGTAAAGTCATTCTTTGGCTCTCCTCCTTTAAGTGGTTATATTGCTGATAGTGCAGGAGATGGGTGCAGGGCAGATGACAATACGTCTGCCAGGGAAACATTTCTTACTGACACAAAGGGCCAATGGAGCATTAAATAAGAAGTGTCTTCTCTCTTATACAGCAGCAGCAGCAGTAAGGAAGACAAATGCTTTGGGGATTTTTTTAAAAGCATTTTCATGGTGGGATGAAAGGCCTGAGTATGGGGTATTTTGCAGCATTTAGTGGAGTGCCAGCTGCATTTTGGTTGCTTGGCCCCTTCTTTACATACTTCCCATCTTTAGGGCCTTAGAGAAATATCTGACAATTCAAAAAGAATTTGTACCTTCTTCTTCCCCAGTCCCTATAACCTAAACGTGTTTAGACAGAAAGTCTGTCGTGTGTTCCCTTTCCCTCTAGGAACACTCCATTAGCTGGAAAGGTCGCTTACAGACTTGAATGCTGAGCCTGTTGTGCTTGGTCAGCACTGGGGAAGTCACCAGAAGGTTGTGTAGCCTTAGCAACAGCATTCTTATTGAGCTGGGTGCTGGGCTCCTTTCACTATTGCAGGTGTGAATTAGGGAATGGAGAGGCTTTCTCCTATCTTCAAGCACTCTGAAGTAATCCTTAAAAGCCTGGTCTGATTACCTTGAACTGGTTGAGGCAACCTCTCTTTAGTGGATCTCTTGCACTGGGCAAGGGCAAGGCAGCGGGCTATCTACTTATTAAAAAAAAAATAGCATCTAGAATTACTCTCACCTGTGTTACTTACTCCCTTCCCAAAAGTGCCTCAATATGTCCTTGAGTGGCCTGTACCTTAACAAAGTATCTACCTTAGACCCATTTGTTCTTCACCTTATCCTTGTCTGCAGCACATCCTCAAGCTGAGATGATAAAACAAAGGGCTGGACCTGCAAAAGGTGTGGACTGCTGCACTCTGCATGCCTCTGTGCACAGCTGAGAGACCTGGCTCGGAAGCCACAGCCTGAGCTAAACACATAGGGAACTACAGTGGGTAGCATACTAAATAAGGAGCTGTCAGGAAAACAGCTTTTGAGATGAGGTGAAGCTTAACTTTCAGTTGTACTTAACTCTAGGCTCTGCTCACCTGGGCGCTGGGGCTGGGAACTGGGGAAGGTCTTTTCTCAGAAACAAACCTGGAACAAGAACTGAAACCTGGAGTCCCACCCTCCTGTTGCAGCCATGTGCTGCGTGGGAGCATGGTGAGGAGATCCAGGCTGCTGGGCCATAGCTGTGCCAGCTGCTTGGCTCAGCTGGAATCGGAATAGGGTGAGTAGGATTCTCAAGGAGTTAAATAACTTGGCTGCCCAGAATACTGAAGATGGCTGGTGCCTAAAATACTAGGTCTAATCTCATGATGAAACAAGCCAGAGATGGCAAAGCAACCCAGGCTGCAGGCTTCTGACAGGTCAGATGTCAGTCCTTAAGCATCTGCCTGCTCCAGGTGCTCACCAGTCTGAGCAGCAGCTCCTGGCAGTGGAAGTGTGGTCTTTTCAGTATTGCATCAGGGTTTGGACAGCAGCAACTTAACTTCAGGATGCTGTGGTATTGGCAGCTGGCTCTTTCTTTCCTAACCACCTGCCTGCCTGTTGTCCTGCCTGGGGCTGTGCTTTGGGGTGAAAGCTGTAGCACTGAATGCTTTTGCACAGGGCAAGGTCTGTTGCCAGAATCCCGTTTCCTTTTTATGTAGCTCTGAGCACAGCTAGGCTGACAATTTGGACTGTGTTTTTAAACTGATCAATGCTTTCTAATGGTCACAACTGGAAAAGAAAAGTGTTCAAGTTAGTTAGGTTGAAAAAGTTGAGTCTTTCCTTTCATTGTAATGATGTAGTAAACAAAATAATTGAGGTCATAAAGCTTTCCTTCCATTGAACCCACAGGGGTTCAGTCCTAGCAAAGCCCTGCTAAGGCAGGTGTTATATCAGGCAGAAATAAACATGCTTCTGGCAGCACAGTCATTCCTTCACTGAACCAGAATGAGCTCATGCTTTAAAATTTGTCTCTAAGAATGTAATTCCTAGATTGTTTAGCTGTGAATGTTTGGGAGGAGGGGAGGAGTGAGCACCCACCCCACCCACTCTGGGTACACAGAGCTCAGGTCTTCCATAGAATGTCTCATTTTAGGCACAAAACATACTGAAAGCTGACTTGTCTTGCATGTTTTCTACTCCAGCAGGTCAGAGACAGGAGAATGTGTTTCCCAGTGAAGCACAGAGCAGTGAGGCGCATTACTGCCTGTACCTATTGAAGGCAGAAGCTGTGCATAACTCGTTTGGCTCAGTCTGCTTAACTTCAGTACTAGGAGGCTACAAGAGCAGCAGCGCTTTGACTGTGTGCATCTACGCTGTGCTTCAAAGTGCAAGCTATGTATTGCCATAAAAATAACAACAAACAAACAGGGTGGGAGGGGGTCACATGTAATCCACCAGCAGTCACTCTGGTCCCCCTTGCTCAGGCCCCTACGGAGCAGGATGTACAGCACTCGCTTTATGCAAAGGCTCTGCGGCTGCTTGTGGTCATGGCTGGAGAACAAGAGCTGCACCAGCTTGGAAGGGGGCGGCTGCAGCATTACCAATACAGCCAGGGGAACCAGAACACATCGCTCAGCTTCACCTTCTGTTTTAAATGACTTGGTCACTTTTTTCTACTTTGAGCTGACCCTCTTTCAGTCTCTTAGGTAGGCTGACTTGCTTCCTCCTGGGTAGAAGTCTATGGTATGCTGTAGGAGAGGGGGAGCTGCAGTTAGCTTCCAGTGGAAGCCGCTTTTGATCTCCCTGCAGTATCTGCAGGGGAGGCAAGGAACACTATGAGGTGGACAGAACAAGCTACAGAGGATGCATCTTATTGCTATACCTTTAGGGGGTCTCTCCCCATTTTTATCTTGCATTATGAGCTTTTATTCAAGTGTAAAACTAAAACCCACTTGGGTTTAAGTAGCAAAGTCTAGTGGGACGGACTCCATGTGCATGTCTGGTCTTCCACCAGGCTTCTGCTGGCTGGCAGCAGGGAGTGCAGGTCCTGTTCCTGAGAGACTGGCCTAGGGGAAAAGATTGAGCTTGGGCTGAGGGCAGCCCCTGCCCCAGGAACTGGTCATACTAGTCCTTTTAATAGGCAAGTGCAGCTCTCTTGGGGAAAGCTACCTGAAGCTTCTTGTGCCATTTGGTTAATAAAAGTGTTTCCACCTTTAAAAGAAAGTTCTTTCCAGCTTCATTGTTCTAGAATCAGTTTAAGTGAAGGGGTATGTACATTTTTCCCTCTACCACTGGGACACTGCTGTAAGACCATGCCCCCAGGTTGCACTTTAATAAATGGTACAGTTTTCAAAAACACGTAGGTTGTATTTTGATTTTTTTTTTCCTCCCCTGTTCAAGTGCAGATACCAGCAAACAACAAAGGTCAGTCTCTTTGTGCAGAGCACAAGGCCAACAACAAACAGCTGTAGCTCTGTTACCATTAGCAGCAGCATAGCAAGAATGCCCTACCATTTCTGTGAAAGGGGGAAGGATAAATTCAGTTGCTTAAGATGCATATGTATGTCATGTCCATTTTTATTAAAAAAAAAAACAAAACACCAATGAAAGGACATTATTTACATGATTTCTTCAGAGGCAGCTGGATCACAAGAAGAGCCTCAGCCACCACATATGTGATGACACATACATCAAACAACCTGAGTCCAAGTCTGTTCACTGAACCTGAGATGTGAATACAATGTGCTACTGACCAGAAACACCAGGTATTCCTCCTCATTCTAGGCTGGTATCTTTTTTTCTCTCCAGCAAGCTGCTCTGAAGCCAATGACCATCTTTTCTCAAGCATGTCCGGATACTGTTCCCCCCAGAATCCACCCCTGTACCTTGCCCAGCTGCAGCACAAACCTGCAGGATGCAGCAGTTGGCTAGAAATACTGACAAGGTGGACTCAGCACCCAGTGCACTTCCCCTAGAGGCATGAGCCAGGGGTTGTTCCTGCATTACATCTGCTACTGATAAGATGAGGGAAGAAAAAAAAAAGAAAAACATCTATTTTGTAAAATGGAGAAGAGTAAGCACTATATCTTACAGGTGCTGGCAGACCAGTCATGCAGCTCTCACTACCGTCGCTACTGTGCTAGTCTACAAAAGCCCATCTACAAGCTCTGCCTTCCCTTTCACAGCTGTGTTTCAAAAGTTATGAGCAGAAAAAGTATCTGAGCAGATCAAGAAGTTAAAAAGTCTTCAGGAAGCCAATCGCTGGAGATTTCTCACTCACGCAGCTAGGAGGGAAGAAATAAAACCAGCATTAACCACAACAGCGTCTTCTTGCAGCCACAAGCCCTCTGCCTGCCTGCCCAGCCCATGGACTTGGGCAGATGCCAGGGAGGCAAAGCAGCAACAGCCACCCACGCGCCTACAAAGGCCCCTGCACTCTACACAGATCCGTGCCTCAACGCTGCCACCTGCTGTGCATCTGTTAGCCCTCAGCCCCACACTGTGCTAGAACTGGCTTTGGGGGGTCCCAGGGAAGTGAGCAGAAGCTGGAAATCACCCTCAGCCTTCGGAGCTTGCACATACCAGCAGCTCTTCCCTGCCAAGCCCCCAGAGCCCCAAGCGTTATCAGAAAAACAGCAGGCATCTGGCAATGTCCGCAGGGAGTAACCAAGGCCAGCAAGGAGACTGGCTGTGACTTGCACTGAGCTGCAGAGCTGCTGGATAGCACTCACCATTCTGACAATATAGTTGTGGAGGTGTTGGCTGATGTAGTTCACAGTGGTGCTGAAGACACGCTGTAGAAGGGAAGGCACTTGATTTGCCACTTTCTTAGTTAAGAGCATTGCTAGCACCAACATGGCCTTCTCTTGCTCCAGATCTGATGGGATGGCTCTGGCAAGTCCTTCCACTGCCTGTGACAGGCATCGTGTTATCTCCTGCATAGAGGGAAGAGAGGATGTCAGTGCAGCAACTGCGCACCTGTACAGACACATCACAAACTGCCACGTTCTTTCCCAGACTGTTACACACCCAGGTGGCAGCAAGGATGACTGATAGCCTCAAAGCTCAGCTGCTCACCCAAAAAAAAACAAAGAAACAAGGAAACGCCACACAGCATTGGAAAAATTAGGTAGCATCTTACACACTTAAGAGTGCAGCAGCTCAGAATCTGCACCTAGTCTGCCTGGTCCTGAAGTAGCCCAGGAATCCAGGGCTCCCAGGAGATGGAAAACTACCTTAATCTAAACACTGTCAGTATCAGGGCTACATGCCTAGGGCAACTGGTATGGAGAAAAGCTTCACAGAAAAGTCTTCATGTAGGCAAGGAGCTGAAAAAGGGGTCCAGGCACAGAACAAACACTACCTCACTTCTGCTTCTCCAATCCCCTCAAAATAAAATCATTTCAATCCTGTCTTTTCAAGCCAAGCAGACCCTCAAATCAAAGACAGCTCTAACTTCATCACAGGCAGAGAAAAACAAGCAAGCCAAATATCCAGTTATGCAGTTATCTCTTGAAGATGCCAAAAAGCTCTGCGGAAGCAAATTGTGGCTGTTAATCCAGATGTGGATACTTCCCTTGTAGAGCAGTGAGGCACATTAGATGCTGGACCAGGGATGTTGTCTCATCCTATCATAAACTGAGAGTGAACTTGCACTGAAGCAGTGGACGTGCCACCCAGGGAGGCCTTTTCAGCAGGTTACCCATCCCAGCCCAAACCCACTGCTACTCCCAACACCGACAGCCTGTGAGGCAGAGGATTAGGGCACCGTAAGAGGGAGCACTGAGTCTCACTGCTTGCTGAGTCTCAGTGTTCAGTGATAAACACAAGTCAAACTTCTGCCAGGTTTGTCCATCTGACAAGCAGCTGACATTCAGGACCCCGCATCAGAGTTCAAAGATCTTAAAAACAAAATTACCTCTGGAACTCAGCCCTGCTCCACAGCCTCACCTTCCCCTCCTGCAGAAAGGGACAGAGCCCAAGCAACTCACTTTGCAGGGCAAAGGCTGCCACAGCGTACAGGCTCACCGTAGCATCTTCTCTAACAGAGCTTCACATCAAATATTAACACTTCAGATTAATTTCAGAAGTGCAGTAATCAAGGCATCAAGTTAGCAAAGGCATTGCAAACTTGCTGCTTCAGTCACAGCACGAAAGACTCAACATTTATAAGGGGAGCTACATATCAGATTGCTTTTCACTCACCTCTCTAGGCAGATTCTCATTCAGAAAGTGTTGCACTAGATCATTTACTACTTTTGCTTTGATTTGTTTATCCAGCTGGTCTCCAATCTCAGCAAGCTGAGCAGCAATGGTTCGGACAATTTCTTCATTTACCTCAGGGTCAAGCACTGCCAACACACACAGCAGGATTTGGTTCACAGGCTGCAGTCACAGTGGGTTCAGCATAGGTGAGGTGACCTAGGGCATTTTGCCCATCTCCATTACCAATCTTTCCCCACCCCCCAATCTTCTTCCCACACTGCCTTTGTGACATCTATACACACTAAGTGGGGAAGTCAGAACAATTCCAAGCAAGATTTGTTCAAGGTAACTACAGCCAACATTCTGTCTAGAGATGGGAGGGAAGGAAGAGTGTGCCTGATTTCTCAAATGACAACTGTCAGGACCTGTGTCATGAACACCATCTAAAACACGGCATCCCCTTTTGGCAAAGCTTCCCATTGTCACTTTGGGCCATAAAATCAATACATTTTGCAAGATGAGGTAATATTTACTATAGTGGTTACTCATTACACTGCTTCACTACATCAAGGTGCCAGCTGGCACATTGTGTGCAAGGTGCAATATCCATGCTGCTTAGGGCTAGAGAAGCAAGAACTGTATAAGAAATTGCCTCTGCCACACTAGTATAGCATAACTCAGTACCAGAAAAAGAACTGCTCCTAAATTCTAGCTGAAGTGCTGAAACAAAACTCCTCGAGGAGCAACGGGAAGCTTAACAGAAGCACCGAAGATCCCACTGCTTAAGGACAAAAATCATTAGTACCAGATTTATAGCCCTTGTCTCACATGCTACAGACTGTGCAGAGGGACAGGTGCTCAGCCAAGATGGAGCTGCACTGCCAAGCATTAGCTTTCTTACCCCAAGTGATAAAACCCCAACCAATACAACCACCAGCTGTGAAGTTTCTCAGTGGAAAGAATATTGCCATCCGTCTCTTACAAGATAGTAAAGAGACAAGGGGATAGAAACAAAGCCCACCATCTTCACAGAAAGCACATAAGAAAGAAGAGAGCACTCACCTAGCTCACCATTCTGCAAGTGGCCACTTCGATTCCCATCAGTCTGAAGTTCTCCATCGCTATCATAAGATTGAACACCTTTAACGGAACACAAGATGCCCTGGCTTTGTAGGAATGGCAGCTGCTCTCTGAACTCACAGCCAGAGGACTCCGCCAGGAAAGCAAAGAGCAGCATGCGTTCCATATGGTCAGATCCATCACTATAGATATCCTAAATGGAAAAAGAATCACTGTTAAATCCACATCCTGCTGCGTAGGTTTGTACAGATGCTGTTTTTCCTTATAGTGAACACCTTTTTCTGGTCTCCTTTGGGTACAGTGCACAATAATGCCCAGTTTGCAAGAGCTGAGCAAATGCATACTAACTCCTAGATGCACACAGCACTGTGCTGGTTAATGCTGGCTGCTCTGGTCTTACAAACCAACAGTTGAGGCGTCAGCTCATCTCTTGAGCAGCAAGGACAAAATCCCTGATCAGGATTCCTCTTTCAAAACAAAAATGAATGCTCAACACAAGTGACTCTATTCACACATCTGTTTCAAAGGTTTTCCCTGTATTTGGAAATTGGGCACCCTACTTCCTGTACAGAACTAAGCCAACAGTTCCCCATTTAACTTTAATCAGAGCATAGCAGTAACAAGGTGGGAAACAAAGATAATGGACAGCATAAGCCTGCAAAAAACCTGAAGTTTGCATTCCTTTTCCCTCTTGAATTGGGATCTAGACAAGCTCCATAACAAACATATTCAGATTCCTGCACAGTCAGGCAGTTGCTCATAAGAATAACAAGACAGCAGACCATTGGTGTCTCATATCCATTTGCTTGCAGTAAGCAGGCACGTGCTGCATCTGCTGTCACACACTGTCTTCCAACAGGGCAGCACAGAGTGCCCAGGTGAGTTAGGCTGAGGAGGTCCAGCAGGTGGGCAGTGATGGGAGCAAGAAGTCCCACAGGGCTTCAACCAACCAAGACCTATGCAGGAAAGCAGAAGACTGTCCAGTAATCCCAATTAAGCAGCCGATGAAGCAGGATGTATGAGCACAGAAATGAAATGACAAAAAAAATCCTTACTCTTGTACCCAGACTATCTGCTCACGTAGTAAGAAAGTGCTGAGGCTTGAGAAGAACTACCTAAAGGAATCAAGGTTAAAAGAAAATTGGTTTGCCTTGCCAATTTCATAGGGTAATGGGTAATCAACCAGGATGAGCCTAAGAATTGAAACAGTATTACCCTTGGGTAAGTGGAACCTTCCAAGGCCACTCCATATCTACATAACTATATCAGTACTGTCACAGAGTGCTGTGATGGCCTATGCAACAGTAGAAAAATTGTGATAAATTGTGATAAATGTGTTAGAAATAATCAGGGACACAATGGTTACTGGGGAGATCAGGCAGAGGAAGGGCAGAACAAGGACAAGAAGTCTGGAAATAAAAACAAGTGGGAAATAAGGTACAAAGATAAAGCACGCCTCCCATGAGTGGAGCATGCATGTCTACAGACAATAGAGAAGGTCACAGGGTGACCCAAGCACCCTGGGGCACCACACAAGCACACTGAACAACCCATCTGACTTATGTTTCTGTTCAAAAAACTCGTGGGAAAGCAGAACACAAAGAGGGCTACAACTGTGCCTTGCAACCACACTTAATGCTAGAGGGTGACAAATGTTTGAACAGGTTTATGGGGTTTGCAACATGCATATGAAAAATAGTAGCTCTGAAATCACATTTATTATAGTGCAATATTAATATGATCACAGTGATGGGTCAAGTCATTTATTTATTAGTTTCAGTGGTTTGCTACTTAATAAGCATCATTGCCTCTTACATCAGTTCCATCTCACACCTGCAGTCTAATGGGAGAGTCTCACACTGAGGTAACAAGGAAGCAGCTTGCAAGCTAAATGGTTCCATCCACCTTCTGTCTGTATTCATGATGGAGGGGTGCAGCAACAGAGACTCCAGCAGGAACTCTGAGGAAGATGAGAAGGGCACAAGCCAGCACTTTTTGAGACTCAGCCCCTTCCAGGTACTTCTGAACAAGCACATAAGAGAAGTGACTTCAGTGGCATCTGAAACTAACCTGTTCCATGATAGATTCAGAGATAGAACAGCTTGTCACAGTCTGCTTCAGATCAGAAGTCCTTGCCCTGCAAGAGTGAGAAAGAAAATGGTAAATGGAAAAAACAAACCCCAACACATACATATCTTCAAGCAGTATCCACAGGTCTTGTAGAAATTGACCTTTCTAGAGATGCATACGTTTCTGGAGAGAAGTGCCCATGAACAAGGCTGAGAGAATAGCAGCTGTTCTGGCAGGAAGGATCCTATATCAGGTGAATCAGGTAGAGAAAAACTCCTACCTGCCATGGATATGTAGCAGACAGCGATGCAACATGACCTACAAATGGGGCTTAAAGCCACCTTTAGGTGGTGCCAGAAATGGGAGGGAAGACTCTTTGTAGTGCCAGAGCAGGAAAGCAGGGTTATCACAGAGAAGACTCCAGCCCTGTAAAAGTAAATCATGTCTGCTGGGTTTTCCAGGTTCCTGATGACCTTCTGTGAGCTGCACAGGTCTGTGTGCACAGCAGCATATTCCTAAGTGAAGCACCCAGATGGCATTGCAACACATCTGCAGGATTTCAAGTGCCCCCACCCCATACACCTAGAGATATCTGAATATACTCAGGCTTTGTTTCAGTACTTGTTCTTAGATATTTGTTGAAAAGGAAGGGCTGGATCAAGTGCCAAAGGCTTCCAGTCACATCAACAAAACTAAGCCTGCAGAGAAGTTTTATTAGAAGATGGGGAAAACCAGGAGGTCACATCCAGGGCTGACAACCGACAGCCTGCCTTACACCTGGACAGTGCCTGGGGAATAGGTACATGGGGAGCAGGGAGGGTGCAGAGCACACTGCAGAGGGCAGCCTCCCTCACTCACCAGAAAACCAGTGCCTGCTAAGAGCAGAATGCTTTCTCCTCATCTAGACAGTGAGGTAGGTGGGTGGGCAAGTCAGACTAGCAGACCAAATAGCCACATCTGGTACAGGAATGCACAGCACAGAGACCAGACTAAAACAAGGCAAGGAGGGGAGGAATGCAGACTGCACATCTGCTTTCTCACATGCATGGCCATACAGGTAAGCTGACTTCATGAGCACTGCATTCCCACCAGGCCTCCTCCATGTTGGGCAATAACCTGGCTGCAGTGCAGGTACCTGCTGACCCAAGTTAGGGTGAGAGCACTCAAGAGCTCACCCACCCACATCACCAGCTAACTACCAGAGACTTGGACTCATGATGACACATTAGGTTTTAGAGCAGGAGGGTTTCCACGACTTATTTTTAAAGCAATTAGGTGTGCAGGTGGGAAAAGAGGAAGGAAGTGAAAGCAGAAGTGGATTCAAACTCTGAAGGAAGCCACAGTTACAGCTTCAAGAGACTGGGAATTTCCCAGCTTTTCAAAGACTCTTAGAAGCCTCCAATGCCAAAACACAACCTGAAATACATTTTCTTTTTAAAAAAAAAAAAAAAGCCCAGAGACAGCTTTTCAACCATGAAGTCTTTTTCATTTAGTCATTACGCTAAGCTTCTAGCTTCCTAAAACAAATTCAGCTTCTGCTGCTTTGCATTGCACTATTTTTCTGCTCAGTTCAGATCCCACTCACTCCTACCCCAAAGAGCAGGCTGGCTGGTTAGAGATAGTCAGTCCCTCTGTTCTCCTGGGACCTGACAGGAACAGCATAGGGCTACCTCTCTCCTGGCCTTTGTCTTTGCTGGAAGACTTATTAAGGTTGGAGAACTTCTATCCCCACTTCCCTCTTGGTCCCAGGGTTGCTTTGTCAGGTCCATGGCAGGACTGTGGCTTTGTGTAGTAACTCAGGAGCTATCCAGAAGCAGCTGCATCATCCTCATCCCACAGCAGAGATGCAGGTGTTTTGCAGCACTGACAGAGCTGTGACGCAACACAAGCCACTACAGCTGCATGTAAGCAAATGTGCAGATGTACAAGTGAAACTAACTGAGTAGCTTTTCCCTTACAGAGCTTTACAAGAGGTGGACCACTGCTACCCAAACCCAGGCAAACTGTTAGAGGGTGACTGCCTTTTTCCTTCTGGAGGGGTATTCCAGAATACTGCTAGAAGGTCAGCTGAGCAGTCAAGGGATAAGCTGCCAAGAAAGAACACCAGCCCACGCACAGAAAAATGGAATCTTTCTTGAAGAGGGTGGAATGGAAATAAGAGTTAGGGCACCTCTTTGTGGTGTGGTGTCACATCCTTCTATGGAAATCTCAAAATACTGCTTAAAAACCCAAATTCCCTCATTTTTATTCACACTGCTATGAAATCTGTTTGGCTCAATCCAAACACCTATGAAAGAAGCAATCAAAGGCAGAGGTACTATTGCCTTCTCCCACTCCTTGCTCTAAAAGAAGAGAGACAGACTATTCTAGCCCAAAATAAAGAAGGAAAATGGACATTCTACTCTATTCTCAAATCAGCAAATACAAAAGCTAACAACAGGGAGACCCAGATCTATTCTGAGCACACCCATACATGGTCATAGGCATTTTTCTGAGTAGGGATGGAAAGGCAGAGCATAGGAGCTTCACACAAACTTGTGCAAGTGCACTGCCAACACAGTAAGGGGAGCTTGATGCAGCTGGAACACACACATTACTCATGTGAATTCTTAGGAAGTTGCAGCAAGCTGTATGTGCCTACAGCTCTGAAGATCCTCATGTCACATTTTGGCAGCACTCTGTGCTTTTCACAGACAGAAGGTGTTAAGCAACCCTTGCCCTGTCACAGCTCCCAGGGTACCTGCTGCACCCAGAGACACTAATGGGGTGTGCAGTATTCTTCCCAACTCCTTCCCATTATGGGATCATCCCAGCTTTATAGACACTCCTCAGGGCTGGTCCACAAAGAAAAAGACATTCAAAAAATATTTTAAGCAGTCACCCATCCTAATTGCCAATTACAAGGTTGTCCACTCCTGCACATAAGCTAAAGCAGAAAACAAAAGTCAACAATACCCACCACACTCTCTGATATTTATACAGGAAAAAATTAAGACAAAGGCTAGAAGGTGATGATAATTTCCATCAACTTTTCCCTATATCAAGCAATCACCACCCAGGCAGTGAAAAATCCCTGAGGCACTCCAGCCTTTGGCTAACAAAGCTCTACTTGGGTGGTCAAAAACACATGTGAGAACAAGAAAAAAAAAAATTCTACCACTACATTTTAAAAAGTATTTAATTAGCAAGTAGCTTGAGAGACCTCAAATTTCAGCTAATTGCCTTGAATAAATATAAGGGGTTTTGATACTCAGAAGTTCCTCTTGAGAACTGAAATTCTTTAATGCCATCTCAAAAATTGGACTCTTTAAGGGCAAACCCCTAAAAAGTCATATATAATCACACCAATGCTATCTGAAGCTTAATTCATTAAGGCATGTGAATCCTGGTGGCTGCAGGTTGAGATTTTAAGACATCTTTCAGTGAATGGAAGAAGTTACCTACAATCAAACAGAAGCCTTTAGTACAAAAAATAAAAAATGCCTACAAACTCACCCACAGTAAAACTAGATAATCTAGTAAGGCTGCTTTATAGCTGCTAAAAGTCTTGGAAAGTATTCACAGAATCATTTGAGTTGGGAGGGATCATTAATGGCTGTCTGGCCCAACCCTCCAGCAGTGAACAGGGATACCCCCAGGTAGATCAGGTTGCTCAGAGCCCCATCCAGCCTGACCTTGGGTGTCTCCAGGGATGGGGCAACCACATCTCTAGGCAACCTGCACCACTGCTTCCTTATCCTAAGGATTTTTTTTCCTTATATCCAATCTAAATCTCCCCTTTTAGTTTGAAACCATTTCACAACACGCCCTGCTAAAGAGTCTGTCCCCTTCTTTCTTAAAGCCCATTTTTAGGTATTGAAAGGCTGCTAGAATTTCACCTCGGAGTCTTCTGTTCTCCATGCTGAACATCCCCAGCTCTCAGTCTGTCCCCATAAGGAGGGCCACAAAATGATTCTGGGGATGGAACACCTCCCTTGAAACATGCTCCAACAGGTCCATGTCTCTCCTGTACAGAGGACTCCACATCTAGACACAGTGCTCCAGATGAGGCTTCACCAGCACAAAGCAGAGGAGCAGGATCACCTCCCTGACCTGCTGGCCACTCCTCTTTTGATGCAGCCCAGGATACAGTTTGCTTTTTGAACTGTGAGGACACATAGCTGGCTCATGACCCGTTTCCCATCCACCAGTACCCCCAGGTCCTTTTTGGCAGGACTGTGCTCTACCCTTTCATCCCATAGCTCATACTAACAGCATGGTTGCTACAACCCAGGTCCCAGTCCTTATGGTTGGTTATGTCAAACCTCATGAGGTTCACCTGACCCACTGCTCTTGCCATCTAGGTCTCTCTGGATGAGCCTAGCAGCTTCCCTACACTCCTCCCAGGGTACCTGTCCCTGCTTCCACTGCCTGTGCATTCTCTTCTTGCTCTCCATTTCAACCAGCAGGTCCTGGTTCAACCATGCTGGTCTCTTGCCTTCCTTTCCTGACTCCCTTCTTGGGGATGCAGAGCCCTAAGGAAAGCTCCTTTAAAAGACCTGCCAGCTCTGCTCCCTTGCCTTGGAAGGTGGTTTCCCAGAGGGTTTTGTTGACTAACTCCCTGAAGAGCTGGAAGTTAGCTTTGATAAAATTTGGCGTCCTGATTTACTTTATTAATTTATATTCTATGGAATGTAATTTGTTTTTGAAATGAAATACCAATGAATTTAATTATTGTTTTCAGTCTCAGTTGCAAGCCAGCATTGTATCAAGGAAGAGACTCAGCAGCAGTCCTACATTAATAAAGAGATGCAGCTAGAAGTCTGCTTACGTTTCTTCTTACTATCTATACACTGACAGATCTTTATCTTCTTATTTACTCTCTTTCCATACAAGAGTGGTTCAGTTATTAAGTGAGCACTAAAACAGTACCAAACAAATGAATTGCTGTAACTTGAGGAAAAGTAACATCTATGTGAGGGAAGAAGAAAACAAGCAGACAAACAAAAACATGGAAAAGAAAGCAAAAGCAGAAAAATGGTTTGGGAAACCCCTCCTGGATAGTAAAAAGCTGTTGCTATACATTAATGCAGAGCATACAAGGAGCCTCACTGAGGCTTACTCAAAAGCAGAAAACACCCTGGCAGAGAGAGGCAAAGTTACTTAAATTCCACCTCCTAAAAGCCACCACATGCTACTGCAGGCCTGCAAAGGACATGACAAAACAAGCTTCTCGTAAGTGAAAAGTGCCAGAACACTAACAGATTCTACACGAGACTGACCTCAAAAGATGAGCTCTGAAAGTCTAAAATAGCAAGCTATCACTGTTGTACACAAAGCTGCCTCAGGAGGAGAATTATTTGAGGAGCACTCAAAACAAACTGAAGTTGTTCAAACCCTTAAAGGTTCATGCAACACACACACCTCAGGCTTTCCTTGGGTTCTAACGATTGGAAGCTAGAAAGGTGATGGCTTACACTGCATTTTTAGGCTTGCAATTCCCAAGACATCATTTCTGTCACAACCACAACTGTTAGTCTGCTAAGACACTTCTGTGTTCACTCCTTTCCTGCCTTCATACAGTTCTGTCTGCCTAACCAATGCAGGCTGCCACACAGACAGACACCACAGCAGCAGTCAGCAGTATATCTATCCATCAGCACAGGGAACCAGT